CATCACATCTTAGTTGTGCACTTTATTGGCATATTCGTCATTGTCACCGCGTAAGAATATAACACGTCTATAAATAAATACCATCATCTTCATCGCCGTTGACATCATCGTCATCATCATCGTCATCATCATCACAGTCATCATCACCACCATCTTTCTAAAAATAGCACAGACTCCCAGGAAAATGCGTCGGCCTATTGCACTGGTATGTGCATGTTCGAAGAGAGGAAGCCGTACAGTTACTGTTTTGATCTTTGCAACTGGTTGGTTGGTTGGTTGGTTGGTTAGTTGGTTGGTTGAATGGTTGATTGGTTGGTTGGTTGGTTGGTTAGTTGAATGGTTGATTGGTTGGTTGGTAAGTTGGTTGAATGGTTGGTTGGTTTATTAGTTGGTTGGTCAGTATTTGGTTGAATAATTAATTAGTCGTTGATTAATTGATTGGTTAGTTGATTGATTGACCTGCTGGCTGATTAATTATCCAATCAAAATCGACACCTCAGCACGCACAAAAAATTATAACAAAAATCCACCCCCAAAACTTACATCACCTCTTCAACCCAAACACCAACATTCACGTAAACCCCAACAATCAAGTAAACTCCAACAATCACGTATAACTCAACAATCCCACCTACCATCACAACAAAATCAGGAATGGCAGGTCACCTAATCCGTGGGATGCTCACAGGACGATAAAATTTGAGGAGAGTAAGAAGGGGCAAGCGATCGCCAGCAGCTTCGGCGAAAGCAAGGACGGGCACATGCTTCGTGGAATGGCCTCGAAAATGAATCCAGGCAGGCACTCGAAGATTAGGAATTTCTAAAAATCCGAAATCCTGGCGAAAATCTCTGGAAATCCGGAAAAAGAAAATTTCTAGAAGTTTTTAACGCTGTCGATGTTTTTTCTAACTAACATGATCATGATGTAGATTTGTATTGATAAAAATAGTAATATTAAACTTTGTTCCTGATCACGAAAATGACAAAACTGGTTTTTAAAATAATAATAATAATTGCATAATAATAATATTATCTAATAATAATAATAATATTATTATTATTAACCATAATTCTGAAATTATCGTGGGTTCGTTTGGTTTTTTCATATTTTTATTTACCAGTTTAACTTATTAAATTTATTTATTTATTTAATTTTCTACCTAATTAATGTTTTTCTTTAATTTACTTTTCATTTTAAAAACGAAGATGGCAATAATAGAGAACGAACGATGTAATGACGATGATTTTGATGAAGAAGACGGCGTAATTAATTCATAATTTTATAATTATTTATTGCTCATTAATAATAATTGTAATAATTATAACAATTATCATTATTAATTTTTCAATTGTATCAAATCTAGTCTTTCCACGACTGTCTTTCTGAACGTATTATAAAAATTTCTGTTGTCATTAACAAAATTAA